AGTCTCGACAAACTGATCCATCCTGTCGTCCAATCCCACGTATGTCTCTGTAGTCTCGACCAACGAGACTGCAATGAATCTGAACCGCATTCAGGCACGCATCGCCCCTCTGCAAGCTACTCGGCGCCCGCGACTCCCTGTACCCTCGTTGTCGTCGGGTGCACGAGCCCTTGCGCAACGGTCCATTTCGGAGTTGTGGTGCGGATAATCTGCAAGCATTGCTGCGAAAGTCAACGCCGAGGCCCACACGAAGGAATGAACTTGGCCGAGAAATCCTCGTCATTGCAAACAAAATATGGCGCACTTACAACAAGCCGCCACACACCGTCCCGATAAACAGTGTCGTAATGTGTTTCCAGTATACGAAACACAAGCGGGTAGACAATATCAGACATTTTATCTCCTTCGACAGGATTCAGAACGAGGCTATTGAAGTACGAAGTGGGCCTAAACATGAGCACCCGAAAGTGGTTGATGGCATGATGATGAATGTAAGTCTCTGTTGTGAGTCTTATGACTCGTTCGTCTTCCACGGCGACAACAAAATGTCGATTCTCCATTTTGTGCCTGTCTTTGTACTCCAACACCTGTTCGACAAACTCTGTAACCGAGTTTTGCAACTCGTAATAATATAAGTTCTCGCCCGTACGGAGTTTCGTGGAACGGTAGCATTGGAAAATCATTGGCGCCAACCGTATAGTCGTTGCTTGCGAATGGGGAGTCGAGGAAGCTGCCGAACACACAAAGCTTCACCGTAAGCAACTGAGCAACGGATTTGCATAATACAAAGGTGAGGAACATAAGGCGTGTCTTCTTCTTCGATCAGCACATGTTCTTCTTATTTTTTTTAATCTTTTTTTTCTTCTTTTTGATATTCTTCATTTTTTTCTTCTACTACTTCTTGTTTTTGTTCTTATTTTTGTTCTTATTTTTGTTCTTCTTTTTCTTTTTCTTCTCGCGTCTCGTGATTGTGTGTGTGTGTGTGTGTGTGTGCGTGTGTGTGTGCGTGTGTGTGTGTGCGTGTGTGTGTGTGTGTGTGTATGTGTGTGTGTGTGTGTGTATGTGTGTGTGTGTGTGTGTACGGGTCGACAAAAAACGAGGTGTGAATGTCGCTTCCGTTTCCGGTAATTAGTCTATATATAACTGTTGCACACACACACACACACACACACACGCAACTGGCAGACGACGTACAATAATAACAACAATATAAATCACATATCTGTGTGTCACATCATATGCATGTCACAGAGAGAGAGAGAGAGAGAGAGAGAGAGAG